TAAGAGTTATTCTGATAACTCTAGCATAAAGAACATGCTAACAAGTTTACCAAACTATCAGTTTCACTCCAAATCACTAAATCCAATGAAATCTTCATCCTGTGTCGCTTTTAAACAACTCCCCCAACTCGGAAGGTCGACGATGCGCCGCTTCCTCTTCTACGTCGCTTACTTCAGACTTATCGTCGATTTATCAACACAGGACGAGAGCACCCTCTTGTGGTTTAATGTGAAAATAACAGGTGAAATGACATAATCATGTTTTAATAATTTCACACATAAATCGCTCGAGAGTATAACTCGCACCTACGTCGCTTACGTCAGACTTATCGTCGATTTATCACCACTGGCCGAGAGCACCCTCTTGTGGTTTCATGTGAAACTAACAGGTGAAATGACATAATCCTGTGTTAATAATTTCACACATAAATCGCTCCAGAGTATAAGTCGCACCCCGGGCCAAACTATGAAAAAAATTGCGATTTATCATCCGGAAAATACGGTAAAAGTTAACCAACCAAGTAAAAGTACAAAGCGATGGCATGTACTTACGAATTTAGTCGTGAAGCGTGGTCTAAAGTTCTGCGTCGGTTGAACATGTTTAACCGCAGTATGTGCTGACCGTGATCACTTCGCCTTTTTGTGAACCAGGAGGTAATAACTTCATGTACCTGTTGGGAAACAGCGGCTGCCAGGTTCCCCCCAGCGCTGTCCCCAGACACCGCAATTCGTCCTGGGTCCACTGAATACTGGGCGAGCACCCCCATCTGGAGAAAAGACTTGACAACACGATAGACATCCTCATACGGAACAGGGAAGTGGTGAGCGACGGCCAGGCGGTACCTGGAAGGAGAGAAAGTAACTTCAACAATCTCCTGTGAGAAAGCTCACTCGATTCCCCACCTGACTGAAATTGTAAGCTTTTAATTCAGTGAAATGATGTCATCTTTTAATTTTGTCACATTAACAAGTAGAGTTGGGCATTCGTCAGTGTATTCGTCCGTCAGTGAGCTTTCGTCAGTATTTCAGGCCCAACCGGTCGGGTCAGAATCAGCCGAATGGCATCGGGAACACACTTACCGCACGCCTGACAGGCGGCCAAATTAATTTTAAGAAATAAATGAGAATGCGTGTGATGTGGAAATTATGTTTGACAACTAATGGCCGTCGCCAATGAAAGACAAACTGAGCCCACGTGGGTCAGCCTGAAATACTGACCGTGACGGACCGATGAGGCTTCACTCTTTAAAAAATAAAGAAATAAAATGGCTGACCTTCAAATTGTGAAATTTTGGAATGAGCCACAAAACTGTTCCTCACAAGAGAAATTTATTAAATCTAATCAAGTCTAGAGTGCCTGCACTTAAATTGAAACATCAGCAACACTTTACAAATTTGTACAAACATGTATCACATTGAGGCCAAGTTTTGATACAAATCATCCATGTTTAAAAAGCTCCCGTATGTGTGGCAAATATCACAAGGCAAATAATGTGCACCATTCAAAGCACAACGCTTGGACTCCGTTTAGTCTGACTCCACTGCATCCACACTTCCATCCAGTTTATCACTAACGAGAGAAAAAACAGGCGTACATCTGAAATTGCATTGAGAATGTGACTCTCCTTGCCCACATGCAAAGGCATTATAGTTCCTCGAGTTTAGAGTTGACCCCTGTATAATCACAGTGAAGCACCCGCAAGTTTGCATATTAATTTCATCATCATTATTTTACTCCAAATATTTTGGGTTTTTTTTTGTGTTTGTTTGTTTTGGTCTATTTTTTCCTCATTTCCTCCATTATTTTTTTTTTTTTTGGGGTGAGGTGGGTGGAGATTGTACATTAAATCTTTATCAGCATTTTTTTCCTTCCGTCAATGCATTTCAATGGTCGTTAATAACACAATTGTTCACTATTCGCTGGCCGGCCCTCTGCCAACCCCTCGTGAATAGCTGGAGTCAAACAAGAAAAATTGTGTTTTGGCAGTTACCACGATACTTACTCTACAGAGAGAACCACTGCATTCAGCTCAGTGGCAACTTTTCTTGCGAGGAGATCATAAGGGCTCATGTCTGTGAAGAGAGACAGAACACAGAGCAACATAAACCGCTGTTCGCTGCACAGAGATAAACCTGTTAAGTAGTGCTACTCCACTAGAGTCTCCAAGGTCAAATACAGTTGTTTTGATGTTTGATGTCGGGAGCTCTCGAGACATACATGATGTTAAAGGCATTTGAAATTATCCGTTCCATTGAACTTATCAAGACAGTGCTTAGTGAAGTGATGAATGCAAAAATTGTGGTGCACTACTTGGCTGCAACCAGCAGGGGCGCTGTTAATTTAGTCACTACTAGTTTGTGAGTGAAAGAAGATGAAGTCAAGGATAGGAAGCTCGGCTACATTAAGTCTTTTGCTAAGGAAACTCCTTATGGGCAGCAGTCTTTAGCCACTATTATGTATATACAAAGAGGAGCTTCAGGAAATTTTTCCAATCCCGTTCATCTATTCAAAACAAATTAAAATTACCTCGTAGTCACATTGTAGATCAAATACATGTATTCAAACACCCAGGACAAACAGATTGCAAGAACAGCATGACATGTGTCAAACTGAACGGTCTGTCTTCAGTGTTCTGGATTAGCGAGGCCAGGCACCCCTTCGAGGTACCCACCGCTCCAACAGACGGCATGTTATTTCCTCAGGAATTCAAGTACTGTACTGTGATTGACAGCTTCGTAATTATCCGTGATAAGATGTCGCTATAATCTCGGCTGCTTTTTTCTTTTTTTTTTTTTTTTAAGAGCATGTTTATCTACTTACAAGCGCTCCCCAGACACCATCCTCCCCCGTGCAGGTATATGACAGCCCTCCTGAGCTCCGTGTTGCCACTTTGCTGCATGGGTTGGTAAAGCACCACCTCCACCCCGTCGAAATTCTCCACCGTCACATTAACGTGTTCGTCGGAAACAGGCACAATCGTTTCAATCAGAGTGATGAAGTACATCACTCCCATGTAGTCCTTCAGCCCTAATAATTCACTGAAATCCGCCTGCAAGGGAAAATGAAGCAAGGGTATAATTGTTGTGGAATTATTAGAGGTACCGTTAACATTGTCATTTGGAACTATTCCTAAATTTAGCCAACCAAAGAGCAATGAACATTGTAGATTACTTTGACTGGTTAACAAAATCGGCAAAACAACCTGAAAAGAACAACAAATTTAAATGTTCCCCATAATACAAAAATATATATATATACAAAAAAAATTTATATATATATATATATCATTCTATTTACTTTCTAATTTTATTTAAAATAGAATCTGTTTACAAAAAACAAAAATTAAGTCGTCCGCCAGCCCCCACCTCACCCACCAACAAAGCACAGTGCTTTCATCTCGATCCAGTTAGTTTGGAAGAAGAGTTCCTTGTACAAGATTGACGCTTCACACTACAGACTGCTAAAGTCTTTACAGAAGGAGGGACCACATGCTCCTTCTGTCAGGTGTTTGGACGAGGAACATCAATTCGTAAGGGTAAAGATCAAATGTAACTGAAATTTATGAGGGGGAAGTTGAGGTTGTTATGAGCCTTATCAGATGGTATGCTACTAAAAGGTCAACTTCTGCGTGACGCTGAATTGGTAGCTCTGAACTTTAGTGGGAAAGCCTCTTCAAAATATCTTTGCTTTAACAAACATTGTTTTGAAGATGCACAATACATAAAAGTAAAAAAATATATATTACAATCATAATCAACCAAAACATTAAAGTCACATCCATACCCTTCACGGATTCATTTTCTCACAAATAAATTGGCACGTGAATTCAAAAACAGTCATATTAATAACCCCAGGCGTGGATAAGAAACAGTATACCGCATGCAGTTTCCTTAATAGGCTCTATTATTAGAAGGTGTGAGCAGGACTATACTACACATGGATTAGCATTTGATATAATCTGTTGCACCCGCTATGTACAACCACATCAGCAAAACACAAGACAGTACATTACTAGTAAGAACTGATCAACAATACAGAAATATTTATGTGCCGGTATTTTTGAATGGTTGTATTATGGTAGGAACTAAAATAAAGCACGAATACACTTGACATGAATATTGATAGTGCAAAAATCTGTTCTATATAATTTTGATGATCAAGCTTTTTGTTCCTTTGCTACAAATCCCAATTACAATAACAGACAAGTTACTACTAATCATTTCGGCTCTGTTGTGTACTCAAATTGCAGACCTTTACACCTGCACACACACGAAATGGAAAATAAGGTATTTCGAATACAGAAAACATTTTATCCTAAAGACGAGCGCGAGAGACGTTCGAAAGTGCGAATCAAAGCGTAGAAACTAACTTGAGCGCTTACCAGGTGGCTGAGACTTCGGAAGAAAGTATTGGTCATCATGAGTTTCCATCTCTCGTCAATATCCTCGGGAATGGGCTCATAAACATAATAAGCACTGAAGGAGCAGAGAGCCACGAATAAAATGATGCTTCCCAGCCTCATCGTGCAGCGTGCGTGTGGAGAGACGACGCCACTCAAGAGTGTTGACCCAAGCACTGCAAAGCGCGACTCGACTCACGCGCACAAAAAAAAAAAAAAAAAAAATTATATATCCCCTCTCTCCTCTCCTTTTTAGCTGCCCGCCTTAGGTGCCATTTCGGGGTTTTCAGCAAGAGAGTCAAAAGATTATTCTGTATGAGCGTGGAGTCGCGGTTTCAGTGGTCAAGTGGCAGCTGAGTGAGGGCCATTGACTGGAAAAACAAAAAACGAGCGCGCTCACGAGGCAGGAACCGTCCCACATTGGCCGCGGTCGCGAATTCTTCAGGTGCCTCTGGATCAGATACAACTTTCACGGGTGGTTGGATCCAGAGAAATTGTGTCAAGGTGCAACTGAGGCCAAAGCGTTGAAATTAGTGGCCCAACAGGTCCTGCCGAAGGCACGCGCTGGGGGGTTGGCACAAACAAAAACAATCGAGTTATCAAACAAGGCTCATCGTGATAGAGGTTTAAAAAAAAAATCAAACAATCGGGTTATCAAACAAGTCTCATCATAATAGAGAAAAGGTATTTCCTCTTGTAAACAGGGGATTATTAAACCTCGTGCAGCGGATGACATTCATACATTGATGGGCGGTGGGTTATTTGGACAAATCAGTTTTTCTTAAGAATGCAGTGAACTATTCGAGGGGATTTTAGACCAAGCGACCCGACATGAGCAAAAAATTTGCTCATACTCCACCCCCCGTACAAAAAAAAAAAACATCTGTCCTTGCAGATGGATCATTACAAAATTGGCGATGATTTATAAGATATGTCAGAAAAGTCCCAGGAGTGGGGTCACATCTAATATAGTCCAAACTATGAATTTCCTCCATCTACAAAGAAATCCTGCGGCAAGAGTTGCAGCAGGATAACTTGTGGCTGCTTCAGCATTCAAATGCGCCTACTCACCATGCCTCGAGGATATGACAGTCATCATTTCCGAGAAGACTATTGCCGAACTCACCCGATCTGCCTCCATGATATGTTGTTGGTGTTTTGTTTTGTTTTTTTCCCCCAAGCTCAAGATGGTGACCAAAGGAACATTTTTGAGGGAGGAACGACATCCAGATGGCAATGATGGAGAATCAGGGAAACATTTTTTGAAGAGTGCATGAAGTTATAGCAGAAAAGGCTTGGAAAGTGTTCGAGAGGAATCCCTACGAAAGTGAAAACTTAGCGGTTTGGATTTGAAACTTTTCTGTCACTCCTAATATTGTGAATAAGCTGTTCCACGGTCTAAAATTCACCATTAAACATTTATTAAACAGGCTGTTCCCTTACACTTTAAAGACTCCTAACATTCATGAAGAATGTCTCCGGGCAATACACAACAGTCATCGTCACACGAGCCGAAGTTCAACGACCAATGCGTTGGCAACTTTGATCAGAAATATC